GTCTCAGCATTAGCACCTGAACAGCACTCACTCTTTCCCTAACAAAGGCTATTAGCCGGTTTAAGATACAGGGACCTAAAGTGAGAAGCAGTATAAAAATAAGCAAGGGCCCTGCCAGGGTGGATATCAGGGTTGTAAACCATGGGGATTTAGTAAACCAGGATTCAAATAGCCCTTGGCTGGCCTCTCGCTCTCTCTTCCTTTGATCTGGCCTCTCTCTAAGTTTAGACATTGAATCTCTTACTATTCCGGAATGGTCTGCTGTTAAGGTTTAGCTAAGTTTTATTAGTTCTTTTTCCTGACCCTTGATGCTCTCTGCACTCCTTTACACTCCTGTTATTGATGATTTTCTTTAGAGTTGTAATTGGATTTCTCTCTCTTCTTAAAATGTATTTATTCTTGTGTGTGTGTATTTATTGTAGACTTTAGTTTTGGGGTTACCAAAGGTTCAAGAGTAGCTTCTTTACTATATAATAGTCTATCTTAAATTGATTAGTCTATTTCAAATACAATCTAAAGGAACTTTTTTCCCTTCTTCTTCCTCCTCCACATTTCTTGTATTAGATGTCATAATCTGCACTTTTTGTGTATCCCTTGAGTGATTTTGTGTATAGTTGATGTTGCTTGTTTTGTTTTAATTTTGTGCTTGCTTGGTAAGTAGTTGGTCTACTACCTTTACTGTGGGCTTCTTTTCACGGGTGAAAGCTGTGTAGCCTTCAGGTCATTTCTATCTACAGCAGTCCCTTTATCATATCATGTGAGACTTAGTGGCTTTATTTTAGGTTTTCTGTCTCTGTTGAAGTCCTCCCTGAGATCTTGAATACTTTACTGTAAATCCGTGAGCATGTTTATGACTAAATTTGAAATCTTTATCAAGAAGATTGGTGACCTCTGTGTCATTTAGCCTTTCTGGGGTTCTGTCTTGTAGTTTTGATTGGATCAAATCCCTCTGACTTCTCATTTTGTCAGGGCTTCTGTTTCTTCCTTTGTATTAGGTGTCTGGGCTCTGCTTTCTGGCCTATGGATGATAGCTTTCTGAAGAAGCTGTGCTATGGTTCCCAGAAGCTCCAGATTCTTTACTCTCCAGTGCCTGGCTCCATTTTGCAGGGGCCCCAGTTGTTGGCATGCTGTGGGCAGGGCACCCTTCTGTCTGGCTTCTGTAATGGTCTTTGTCTGGGTGGACAGTTTGCTTGGACTGCTGCCTTTGTGATCAGCTCAGGAGTCTCTGCTGAGCTCGCTGTGGGTGGCCCACCCTCTGCCTGGCCTGCAGCAATGACAGGGCTGCAGGGTTAATGGGGTGGCTGGAGTGATGTGCCTCAGCTGGATGCACAGCATGGGGTTTAGACACCCGCAGGGAGGAAGGAGCTCCTGGGGCTGGTGCCTCCAGGCACCTCTCTGGCTGGGCTGAAATGGAGACAGGCAAGCTGGGAGAGTCTCCCTCCACCTGCCGGGCAGCAAAGGCTGATGCTGATGCTGGGCCACGTGGATGGGTTGCCCCAGTGCCCAGGGAGGGGCCTCAGGGCTGCATTGTAAGCTAGGCAGATGGAGCATCTGGAGACCCCGAGGGTTCCGGATCTGTGGGGCTGAGGAAGGGCTGGGGAGGTACCCTCCACCTGCACATTCTCCTGAGGATAGAGTTCTGTCCAACCCTCACCTCTCTAGTACCCCTCCCACTGCTGGCACTCCCACTTTGGGTCTCAGGAGCAGCAGAGCATGCCTGCCCTCCACACTGGCTGGAGTCTCAGCCTCCCAGAGTGTCCCGCCTGCCCCTGGTGTCCACCCCCAGGAACCACCGGAACCCAGTGTGATGTGAGCTTGTGCTCCCAGAGCAAATCCCCAGGGCCAGATATGCAGCACTCCCGGGAGCCTTCCCCTTCCCCAGTCCGGTCCTCTCCTGCCTGGAGGCTGGGCTGGAGGCAGGGCTTGAGTCCTGCTCCCTCTCGGCTTTGCCGCCCCCGCCCCCCCGTGGCTCCTCTCTTCCTTCTCAAGTGCAGGGGGTCTGTTCTGCAGTGTTCAGGTCGTTTTCAGGTCTAGTTGCATTTGCTGTGTTTTTCCCTCTTTTATATGTTTTGGGAGGAGGTTTCTGTCTTGCCTTCCTATTCTGCCATCTTTTTTTGTATTCTTTTATTTTTGGTGAAGTAATGTGCATGCAGAGGTTTTAAGTGTGTACCTCCTCCCCAGCTAACCTATATAATACCAGCTTTTTAGAATTCTGAGGGACCATTCCTTTGGTAGAATAAGTGAGGAAGACCGGTGGGTAAGCTGTTTTGAATGCTTATCCATTTAGCCTTAAATATTTGATGAGTTTATGCATTTAAGGAAAAACTTCCTTTTACCTACTTTTGCTTCTGCTGATTTAGGTGATGAACAAGCTTTCAACTGAAAATGATGAGCAGTTTGGAAGTAGCCTATATTTGTTTAATATTTGATAAATTAAAAATCGTATAGATCAGTCGGTAAAAGTTATCCAAGAGGATTTTGTGCCTTTCGATTTGTTTCCTCTTTTTTCCTTTGAGAGGCGGTTAGCATTTGTAGCAGTATTAACTCTTTCTAACAGCCTTTAGCATCTTATCTGGCTGTGTGATTTTTATTGCAAGTGCAAAATCAGGTAATTTTGAAGATTCTAAGTAGGAAAAATTTCCTTTAGGAATGCCCTGTTGCGAAGATTGAGTTGAGGTAGTGAAAAAACCAGAGTCACGATTTTTTTTTTCCTGTTTGCTCTAATTTGCCTTACTTTCATTAGCCATCAAGAACTAAAGCCGTGGTAGCTGAGAACAGGGGCAGGCAGGGTAACTGAGGTGAGTTATATCATTGTTTACAGAGTGTGCCTCTGGGTAACATTTCCAAGAGTTCTTTTGGACAAAGCAGAATATCTTTGTGATTTAGAATTAAGCAAAGTAGGGCTTTTAGTTTCCTCTTCCTTTGTAACAACTGGGGTAAAAGAGAAGCTGAGAAAGATAAGATTTGTTGGCAGAGGGGGCTATGTTGGCACTTCCCTTTGAACTCTAGCAGGGCTGCGTGTTTCCTCCTGTGGCGTCGTCCTGAGCTCACCACTCTCCACTACCCTTTCTTTCTGTTCTTTCTTTCATTTTTCCTCCCTCCCTTCCTCCCTCTCTCCCCCTCTCTCTCTCTTTCTTTCTTTTTCACTTTTTCCTTTCTTTCTCACTTTTTCACTTTTACATTATTCTTCCAATATATACCATAACATATGTTGAGGCCCCAGATTGAAACAAAAATAAGTAAAAATGGTTAAAAACTTAATAATGCAAAGAATAAAGTTAAAGCTAGACTCGTTTGCCTGTCTGTGTCATTCCCCGGGTTGCCTGTTCATTGGGTTGGCATCTCTAGAGGCAGATTGTCTTCTCTCTTTCTTCTTCCCAGCTCCCTCCTTTTACTTGTTACCCTTCCCCCCTTAGTCTAACTTATTTGCAAACCCTGGTAAAAATAGGGATGTAGTGATGTACTGAGCATTTTGTAAACATTTCTTGATGATGAACTCTGGTTTATGATTATGCTTTAATGTTTGTGCTGAGCCCCAATATATATGTAAAATTCTTAGTTATTTGTATTAGTGGATTTTTATATAAATGAAGCATAAATTAAAGATGGTACTGTATTTAGATGTGAACAGGGACTACAATAAATTTATCATCAATTATAAGGAAAATGGATGTGGTTACAAAATTGGAACAGAAGCAAAAATGGTTACTCAGAGAGTGGTGTGACAATAGTTGATTTTGAATGCTAGGTATAAGATGAACATTGTTATGAATGTAAATCATTGCTTATATTGATTCTGAGTTATGACTTTCTAATTTTTGACAATGTATGTAATAAAGGAATTTCTTGTTTGAGATATCATCCATAGAGTTCATTTGCGGGGCTCGTTCCAAGTGACCCGGGCAGCTTGGGATCACATGAAGAAACAGAACTTTGGAAGGTAGAGTTGTGTGTGGCTATCAAGGGGGAATCGTGATGTTGTGTGTAGGTTCTTCTGCACAGAGATAGATAATTGCTTTGACACTGAGGAAAAAATCTTCAGATATATGCACAGGCTTTAAAAATATAGTTTTGGTACATACCCTATAAATTGGTGTCATTTAATCACAGGTTAGCTTTAACTGGACAGCTTTATATTTCTTTTTACCTCCTGCTTTTCATTATTAATGATTTTTCTGATTTTCTCTGCTATTTTAGCAGTATATTCTCTAACCCAAAGTTCCATTTAGTATGTCCACTGACCACCTGGGGACAGATGAGTGTCTGCTTCCTGCTAGCTCGTACTGGTCAGATGTGAGTTGGTCCTCATAAACTGTTTAGGAACTGTAGGACTCTCAGAGTTGCATCTACAAGAGTGACTCAGAACGTGGCAGAAGCTGTCAGGTGGCTCCGTGCACTCTAATATTAGTCAAGGTCATTCCTACTGCCTTAGGGTTCACATATATCTACTAGAAGTAAATTGTTTATGATACCTGTTCTTATTGGAAATTTCTAGTTATCCTAATCCTACCAGTTTCTGAAAGTAAATTATGTGATTCATTTTACTTCATCTGCTAAGTAGAGTGAATTAGTAGATGGCATCTTTTTGATGTGAGGCATTTGATATTTAATCCAGAAAGAGAGAGGGGCAAGGAGATGAGTACAAAGAATCAAAACTTATTTATTTAATGTTTCTTATGATAATTTTAACATATATTTATTGCCATTTTATTTTATGTTTATAAATATTGGGTTTTTTTCAACAGATAATGAATATACATCCTTCACTCAAATTCATTAGGTTCTAATCAGGGATTTTTATAAAACAGTTAAATCTTGTAGTTGAATTTTGAGAGATTATTTATATTATTAATATTACTTAGACATATGAAATCATAACTACAAGAACCTAGAGACAGTATAGATTGCTTCTGACAGGTGTAGTGGTATTGAAAAAAGAGTCCTAAGAGTTGCAACAGTATCAAAACCTAGAGCAGGTGACACTGAGAGTGGTTTTCCTTTTAGGATCATTATGGCTTCATCGGCTTCAGGAATATATGGCAACTTTGGCCCGGCAGATTATAGTGCTGCAAAACTGGGCCTTCTGGGCCTTGCAGATGCTCTTGCAGTTGAAGGCAAGAAAAGCAACAGCCATTGGCACACTGTTGCCCCTACTGCTGGATCACGTTTGACTCCGAATATTTTGCCAGGAGGTAAGTTACTTAGATTTTTCAGTGCTCTTACCCACAAATCTCTGTAGAGGGAGTTTTGTAAAACTATTTAATTTTCTAAATAGGTAAAAAATCATTTTCCTTACAGTTTAAAAAGTGTTATGTATAATTTGTGTTCATTTTAGAAAATTTAGAAAGTCACAAAGGAAAAAAAAATGCCCCTAATTCTACCATGCTAAGATAAATATTCATTCTTTTTCTCTGTATAGGTAGACATAAATACATACTTGTTTTTTACAGAATGAGGTCATAGTATTATTACTGTTTCATAATAATAATTAATTTTTTAAAATCAATAGACTGTATTTTTTTAACAGTTTTAGGTTAGTAGAAAAATTGAGCAGCCAGTAAAAGAGAATTCCCAGAAAGTCTCCCCTACCCCCACAGTTTCCCTTATTCTTAACATCTTGCATTAGTGCACTACATTTGTTGCAATTGGTGAACGATTCTGATCCATTATTATTAACTAAAGTTCATAGTTTACATTAATATTCACTGTCTGTGTATACTATATATAGTTGCATGAGTTTTCACAGATGTGTAATGTTATGTATCCACTGTTACAGATCACACAGAATAGCTCAGGGCCTTAAAAATCCCCTGAGCTTCACCTCTTCATCCCTACCCTCTTCTTCCTAAATATCTGGGAGAATTGAAACTCATTTCTTTTTATCACTGAATAATACCTCATGGTCTGGAGGGACCACTGTTTATCATTTACCTAGTGAGGAGCATTTTGGTTGCTTCCAGTTTTTTGGCAATTATGGATAAAGCCTCTATAAACGTATTCATGCACAGGTTTTTCTTTGGATATGTTTTCAACTTGTTTGGGTAGATGTTAAGAAGCATAATTGCTAGATCTTATGTTAAGACTGTTTGGCTTTGTAAGAAATTTCCATACTATTTTCCAAAATGGCTGTGTCATTTTGCATTCCCACTGGCAGTAAATGAGAGTTCTTGTTGCTCCACATCTTTGTCAGCATTTATTGTTTGCAGTCTTTCTCATTTGGTCCTTCTAATAGGTACACAGTGCTATCTCATTGTTTTAATTTGCAGTTCCCTAATGACATATGGTGTGCAATTTTTTCCTGTGCTTATTTGCCATTTATTTGTCATCTTCCATGACGTGTCTGTTTAGATCTTTCATTTATGTTTAAATTGGGTTATATGTTTTCTTATTGTTGAGTTTTTAGACTTCTTCACATATTTTGGAAACAAGTTCTGTATCAGATACATATTTTATGAGTATTTTTTTTCCAGTCTGTAGATTGTATTTTTATTCTCTTGATCTCTTCCACTTTTGAAGGATAATTTCCCTGGATACAGAATTCTGGGTTGGTAGTTTTCTCATTCAATACTTTAAATATTCCATCCCATTCTCTTCCTGATTACATAGCTTCTGGAGGGAAGTATGACATGATTCTTTACTTGTTCCTCTAGGTCAGGTATTTTTCCTCTGCCTTCTTCCAGGATTTTCTCCTTGTTTTTTTCTTCAGTTTGTATATAATATGTTTAGGTACAGATTTTTGGCAACAAACAGCTTGATATCTTCTGAGCTTTCTGAATCTGTGGTTTGATCTCTGTCATTAGTTTGGGAAAATTCTAAGCCAGCACTACTTCAGATGTTTCATCTATTTCTTTCTCTCATTTCTGGAATCCCCATTTATGTGCATGTTATATCATTTGTAATTATCTCACAGTTCTGAATAGGCATGGAATATTCCCTCCTTTTCTTTCTTTTTGCATTTCAGTTTAGGTCATTTCTAGCAACTTACATTCAAGCTCATTGGTTCTTTTTTTATTTTTGTCACATTGTTCTTGTCCTTAAGCATTTCCTTTTGATTTTTTTCTTAGTGTCCATCTCTTCTTACAGTAGCCATCTATTGTTGCATGTTATCCACATCATTACAGTCCTTAGCATATTAATCACAATTATTTTAAATTCCCAGTCTGGTAAGTCTAGAATCTCAGCTAATTTGAGTCTGGTTCAGATGCTTGCTTTGTTTCTTCAGAATGTGCTTTTCTTGCCTTTTAGCATACCTTGAAATTTTTGTTGAAAGCTGAATATGGGTATTAGGATATTAGAAAGTAAAGTAAATGGGCCTATAGTGTGAAGTTCTGCTTTTTTCTGGTTAGAAGTTAGGCTGTTTATTGTTTGCTGTAGCTTTCAGTGTCAGAGGCTTCATTTTCCTTGTGTCCTGGTTTTTGTGTTTTCTGTTGTCTTCAGGTTTCCCTAGAAACTCTGTTAAACAGACTGTGTGTCTTGGAGTTCTTTCAGTTGTCACCCACTGTTACTATACTGGAGTCCTGTTGATGTGGCTGAAAGTTGTTGGAGAGGGGACATGATCTCTAATCTTATGATTAAATCTTAGTTTTATTAGTGGATTAGAGTTCCTGGGTTATGTCCTTCAGAAGAGTTTCTTGGCCTGTTTTTTCTTTTCCTTATTTGAGACAGGAGCCTACAGGGGCTCCAGCTGTCTAATGCCCTTCTGTTAGGTCAGATAAGGCTCTGGTAGGATAGGCCTTTGTTAAGGAGAACAGAACTCTTTGGGAATATTTCAGAATGATTTTCTTCTGTGTTCTTTGTAATATTTCAAAGCAAGTCTTAGGTATTTCACCTAAAAAATACTTCAAAATATATCTTTAACAGATATGGGCCTTGTAACCACAATGCCATTATCACATCTCACAAAATAATTCATTAGCATCACCAAATACCAAATTCATATTAAAATTTCCCAGTTGTCCAAAAAAGATACCTTTTTAAAGTTGGTTTATTCATTCAGGATACAAACAAAATCTGCAGGCATTTTGTTACTGTATCTCTTGAAGTTTCATTTAACACATAATAGTTAATTCTCCTTAAAAAAAAAAAGCTTCTTACTTGTTGAAGAAACTAGGTCATTTGTTGCATAAACAATCCCTCTTTCCTTTCATGTGGGTTGCCTTTGCACTTCTGTGGAAAATCAGTTGACCACATATGTGTCAGTGTATTTCTGGATTCTTTGTTTTCCATTGATCTATGGGGCTGTCCCTTTACTATACTGTTTTGATTACTATAGTTTTATAGTAAGCCTTGAAGTCAGGTAATAGGGGTTTCCCAACTTTATTCTTTGAAAATGTAAAATTAAAAAATTTTTAAAGTATAACTGAGAACCTATGCTTAGTTATATAATAAACTGAATATTTGACTAGTGGAAAACTATGTGGTTATTTTATACTCCTGGTTTTTAACATACTTCTAAAAAGAAAATTTTCATAGTACTTTAAAAGTAGCTTCTGTGAAATGGTTCAAAACTATTGATGAGTGACATTATTTTAAAGTTAGCTACTTCATGGAACACAAATACTTATTCACAGTACCATTTACTTTCCACATTTCAGCTAACATTCATTTTAGAACTTGAAATTTCTAATACAAAGTATACACTTGATAGCCTCTGCTAAGACCTGTACCTAACCAGCTTCTTTAGTGTAGAAGAGCTATTTGGACCTGAGATCTTTTTTCCCCCCTTTCCTTTGTCAGCAGGGCCATTTTTAAAAGTCCTTTACTTGTTGATCACTTAAAGGGAGTCAGATGATCAGCTATGGATGTACACTTTTCTGATAATATTCCTTTCTCTTAATAAAAAAAAAAAA